GATTAAAATAATATAAAACATGAATTAATAATACACAGACACTCTTAAAACAAGAAAGGGAACTCTCTATGAACCAAAAACTGAGTGGCATTTCTGAAAAGAGGCAGACAGGCAGCCATATGCTAAGCCATGGCAACCACCCACCAGCGAGGCAGGGCTGAGAGCAGAGCTGGTCACAGCCACGCTAGGGCCACCCTGCACACGACCACGAGGCTGACGCCACCTTGAGGTTGCCCTGAGGACATGCCCACACAGCCCAAGATATGCACACAAGTCTCATAAGATTAATTCACAACCAAGAATCATCCAAGCCATACGTATGTATATATGTGTGTAGGTCCATACGTGTGTGTGTGTGTATTAATTTCCCCCCTTGAGGACTTTTTATGTGCCAAGTCCTATGCTGGGAGCTATGAGAAACAGATTAAAATACCAAAGCCTTGCTACCAAGAGGCAACACAGGGATACAAGAAGTACAAAGACAACTGTAACAGAAGGAAGAATGTAGCACATGCAATAAGTGAGGAATAAACTAACGCTATGGGTTGCCCAAGGAAGGAGAAATTCCATCTGGTTTGGAGGTATCAGGGAAGACCTCACAAAGGAGGGGGATTTGAGCTGGAGCTTGATTTTAACTGGCGAAGATATAGCAGAAGGGCCCTCTGGGCAAAACAGTGTGAGCAAATGCACAGGGTGGGAAGTGTGGGGCTTTTTCAGGGAATGGTAAACTTTGGCTAAAATGTAGGGGGTCTGTAATGGAGTCTTATGAAATAAAGCTGGAAAGATAAATTGGAGTCACATCCTGGAGGATCTTGAATGCCAAGACAAAGTTTGGTAATGGAAAAGAAGAGACAGTTACAAGAATTAATAATAGCTAGTTGCTAATGTCCAAATGTTACTTTACAACATACAAAGGACCTTTGCATAATTGTTTCATTTAATATTCACAATAACACCACAAGGTAGATACTAGTCCGTTTTATAGAGGAGGAAAACTAAAGGGGGAGAAAAGTTTAATTTCTTGTCCTGGGTACCATAGTCAGTAGCAGACATAAACAAGTTCATTCACTCAGTCATTCAACAAATTTCCTTGCCCACAAGACTTGTGGAAATAATATAATGTATGTGGGATATCTAATTAGCTAATGTATAATAAAAAATAGAGAATATGCGTGCATATGTGTGTGCGTGTGTGTGCATATCCAGATTATCTCACATGGTTGCTGTGGGTATCAAATAGGGTATGAAAAGCCGAAGTGCTTTGTTAACAGTGAAGTGCTATCAGGAGATTACTATTATTGATGTCTGTCAAATGAGGGCCATGGCCAGAAGGAGAAGCAGTCACTTTCCCTCCCATCTGATCTTGGGCTTGCAGGAGGGAAGCCTTCAGGAGACAGATGCGACTCATGGGCAGCCTTGAAAGATGAGAGGGACTCGGTGAATACAGGAACCAAAGACAAAGACAACCTTCTGCTAGATGGGCCCTGGGGGGCTGGGGGGGTGAACAGACTAGCCTTTGTGGAGTAGAGGGCTTCGTAAGGCTGTGATAATTAATTCATTTTCTTACCATCCAAACCTGCTCTATTTTTCTCCCATTACCCAGGCATCAAATCTGGGAGTCAGCATCAAATCTTCCCTTTCCCTCAAGTCCTTTGTTAGTTAGGTTAGGCTAATCTGCTGTAACAGACAGATCCAAACATGTATGGGGTTAACACAATTAAAATCTATTTCATGCTTGAAAAGGGTGTTCAGTCAGAGAGGAGGCTCTCTTTAACACAACGGTTTGGAAACACATATCCCTTCAATGTTAGGCTCCACCACACCCTAGGGCAGTGATTGTCAAAGTGTTGTCCACAGACAGCAGTGTCAGCATTTCCTGGGAACTTGTAAGAAGTGCTCATATCGGGTCCCACTGCAGACCTACTGAGTCAGAAACTCTAGGGGTGGGGCCCAGCAATCTTCTCAACAAGCCTTCAGTTGATTCTGATGCTCACTAGTTTGAGGACCACCAACTTAGGGCTTTATCAAATCTGCAACCAGCTAGCAGAAAAATAGAAAGAGGGTATAGAGGAGGAAAACCTGCTCTCCTAAAAGCCCTGGCCTGAAGGTGGCACACGTCACTTCCACTTATATTCCATTAGGAGGACTTAATCACATGGCCTCACATAGCTAGCTGCATGAGAGGCTGGGAAATGCAGGACAGCATGTACCCACGTAGGGAAGGGCAAACAGATTTTGGGGAGACAGCTGGCATTCGCCATCACACCTCCCAAGCTTGGTTGTTCCAATACAAATCTAGATGAATCTGTTCCTCCCTGTCCGCCCCCCCCAACCTCTTGCCCTCTGATTCAGGCCTTCCCCACCTCTCGGGGACATCCACAGTAACTCTCAAGCTGTTGACCAGCCTCCAGACTCTGGTCTGCCCACTCATACACTACCCACTAGGCTTATCTTTGTGAAGCTTGTGTCTCCTCAGAGTGCTGGGGCAAAGAACCCACTGCCTCACATTAACGCCTTAACAAGTCTTGTTCTCCAAGTCACTTCTCACACTGTTGCTCCTTCCCGGACTAGCCCCCTTCTACCCTCTGCCTGACAAAATCCTACTCACCTTTTTTAATGTTTCCCTCACTCTCCAAGTTATAATCTTCCCCCAGATTCTTGGAGCATGGCCTTAGTTATATCCTAGTTCTACTTAGAATAGTACTGTTACCAGAATAGACTGGGAACTAAATCATATATATATATATTTTTTTTTTTTTTTTTTTGAGGACCAATAATGAGGTCAGATCGCACCATTAGGGATGCTGTCTTTATCATTCATTCATTCACCCACACATCCATTGATTTGTCCATATATATTTTTTTGAGGACCAATAATGAGGTCAGATTGCACCATTAGGGATGCTGTCTTTATCATTCATTCATTCACCCACACATCCATTGATTTGTCCAGCAAGTTCTTCTGGAGTGGATTCTGTGTGCTAAACACTTTCCAACAGCTGGGACACAATGGTGCACAGTTAATATGTTGTGATGTGGTAAGTGCTAAGTTGGGAGAAAAGCCAGGGTGGGAGGAGAGCACAAAGGAGGCCTCCAGCCCGTATTTGGAGGTTCTGAGAAGGCTGAAGAATGGGAGAGAAGGTATTCCAGGTAGAGGGAGGAACTAACACAAAGTCTGGAGACAAGGGAGAGCATGTTATTTTCAGGGAACTTGGAGTTCCAGGAGTCTTTTGGTTAATTTCTTCCCCAAAGTTTCTTCTCTCTCCAGAACTACATCTACTCAGAGGGAATGAATGGATGCTTAAGAGCATATAGGTGCCTGCTGTCTTTTATACTTTGCCAGGGGCAAACACTTGCCAACAAACTCAGTGGCTCTCTGTCAGGGACTGCAAGGAAGACCAGATTCTTCAGAGCATTGAAAAGTTGGGCTGTCAGGAACTGGCATTAGATCGAGCTCTGTTTCACCTTGGGTACACAACTACAGAGAGCTGACTTCTTCTGTAGAAATTTAGACTTGAAGGGCTGGCTGGTTAGCTCAGTTGGTTAGAGCACAACCTTCTAATACCAAGGTCACTGGTTTGGATCCCCGTACCAGCCAGCTGCCGAAAAGAAGAAATTTAGATTTAAGTGTTGCTATGTTTGTTTACATACATGTACCTGAAATCATATTTTGTTTTCTACTTTGAGGAGGAAGATCATGGTAAGACTCCCACCTCCCTCCCATTTTCTCTCTGTAGTGGGTTGTTGTAGTTGCTGTTTAGAAAGCTCAGGAAGAAGAGTTGTGTAGAAAAAAATAACTAATGTTCATGAACATAGTAAGGGAAGAGAACTTAAGACTGGCCACAACTCTCAACAGCCCAGGATTCTTCCAAGATTGGAATTATAGGGCAACCATCCTCTGAGTCCCCTGCCTCTCTCAGGAAGGAGCCAGGGAAGTAAGAGCAGCCAGGAGCCATTACGTGAAAAATCCTGCCCCCATATCCCCACCACCATCACCAGGGAGACACACGCATAAGTCTGTCAGTGATAACATCCTTACTTCTGGAATAAACAGGGAAAGTATGCAAATACATCAGTTCTACATTATGAAGCTGAAACAATTTGCAAGAAACATTTCCAGCAGTGTCGAAACATAGCAAACAAGGAGGATCTAAGGAAATAAGGGATGGGAAGAGTGTGAAGGATTTCTATATCTCCCCATAATTCTCAACCAGCTAGTGAGCCTGCCTGGCTTTCTTTGTAGCAATTTGGAGGCCTCAAGTTATGGCAGGTGTGATAGTCAAGGCCGCAGGAATATCACAAATGTGTTCAGAGATTTCTGTGCAATGTGTTCAAGAGTCATAAAAGTAGCTTCTTAGAAATACAAATGTGAAACAGCTTCTCTTCAGATGATTGTAAGCTTTGAAGATTTTGGCACATTCCAGCTTTGTTCTCAGATATCTCCAGGGGGCATTAAAAATGTCATCCTATATAAAACTATGTATAATATTTTTCTCAAGTACCACTTTTGAAATACTCCATTGCTAAATTAGACCGGATCTTGGCATGCAAAGTGGGTCATGTTTTGGAGGAAATATAAATGTAATATCCTAACAACATGTATGGTTTTACAGACATATTATAAAGCACAAATTATTTATATACAACCTACATCTAAATACTAGGAAATCTATTATGATAGGCTTCTTAAATTTGGGGACTTGTGCAAACTTTCATTGGACAGTAATGTAAACTGGAAAACAATTAAGTAAATCTTATAAAATGCATTTGCCATGTTTCTTTTTTTCAAAAAAGGTTAACTCAGCACAGGGCTTTCATACCCAGTTAATTTTTATTTCTATTTTTAAATTATTGCTTGATATATAGCCTATCTACTTTCCAAAAAGTTTCTGAAGTAGCTTGCTATAAAAACAGGAAAACCAATTTTAAAAAATGGACACAAACCAGGAGGCAAGAAATTTTAAAAAGGTGAGAGAAAACAAAACAAAACAAAACAACCATTGGCTAAAAAAGTTTATTAAAACCTTAAATGAAATTTTATGTGACCTAGTTATTTTGCTGCGTGTCTAGCAAACTCTGAATATCATTGATCAGATGATGTAAATATTATCACATTCAACTTGCTGAGAGTCAGGGCCAATCAGGTACCTGCGACTCTTCCACAAATCAATGTCTCACTTTGGATGGATGCTTCCCCATTTTTCAGCTGCAGAAAAGAGAACAATATTATGTTGGCTTGATGAGCACAAAGCAAATATTAATTTACTGCATATAACCTTTTGGCATCTTTTGATACAACGACTAGGGGATACAAGGTCGTGCAGATAATGAGTTATATGATTCACTAGGAAAACAGACATTCTGCATATTGAAATCTATGTCTAGTTCCATATCCATACTTACATGTATTTCTAAACATGTTTTCTTAAGACTGCACTTATGATTTTTTTAAAAGGAGGGGGGAGAAAAGGAAAAGAAAGGAATATCAAGTAACTAAAATTGAACCTGATGTATGGCCAATTTTGATGAGGCTTATTAAAGTCTATGGCAATGCCTTGATAAGAGACAGGCTAAAGGACTGCATTTCAACAGATTTCCACAAGGTAAATCTAGCTCAATTGTCCATTCTACCCCCCTCCCCAATTCTGTGGACTTGCCACCTCCCCCACTGCCTGGCAAAGTTCAGAAACCTTCACTTTCCTTAAGGAAAACTGGCTCTTTTTCTCCTCAGGAGCATGGCACCTGGTGCCAAACAGATCAGTCCATTTAACGTGATATTGGGCTGCAATTCTTTAATGTCATTTAAAGCTAAATGTTAAGCTCCTACTCTTTCCAGGTCAGGCCACTGAAGGGTTCTAAAACCTCATTTATGATGTCATTTTCAGTATTCCCTCCTTTGGCAATGACAATAAAAGTTAACTATTAAACTCATGTTTTCAACTTCTCACCGTGGGTTCCCTGCAACACAAAACCAGCAAATTAAATCACTGAGATGCTAAGATGCCTAATGAAATAAAGGCAAATTCCTCATAAATGGCCCTAACTGTAGAACATCTGGCCTGCCCAGCTGCGTTTTCTCTACATCAGTTGAGGATGTAACAAAGATAACTGACCCCTAGTCTTTCCAAGTAACAAAAGCCTAGTATTCTGAGGGCAGCTAAACTGAGTGGGATACGGTGGACACTTCAGCCCTGCCACAGAGCTTTTGATGGCTGCCAGTGAATTCCTCCTCCTTTCATCTCTGCTGCTTTATTTTCACTAAAAAAAAAAAAGAAAAAGAACTTGGAAACATAAGTTGGAATTGAAAATAGATTGTTTATTCCACTCTGACTTCACACCATCAAGTCTTGACTTGGTGTTGGGACCTTGGATTCACTCATTCGACACATATGTATTACATGTCTAATCTGTGCCATGTCCTGGGACAGACATAGTCACTGCCCTCATGGTTCTCACATTCTAGTGGGGAAGAGTCAACACAGAAGTAAGCCATCAGGTAAATATATGATTTCGAATGGTCATAAATGCTATGAGTAGTAAAATTAATAGTGTGTTAGGGAAAAGTATAGAATAGGGACCCGCCTTAGTTGGTGGTCAGAGAAGCCCTCCCTAAGGAGGTGACATTTATTGAGACCTGAAGTATCATTATTAGCCAGCCACATAAAGATTGGGGAGGGGAAAGAACATTCTAGGCAGTAAGAAACAGCATGTGCACAGACCCGAGGCAGAAAAGAGCGTGGCATAGTGATGACTGTATAGTGCATACAGCTAAGGGAGAGTGGCATGAGAGGAAACTACAAAGAGAGGCAGAGGCTAGTTCATGAATCAACACATCTCTCTGGGAACTCATTCATTTGCCACCTCTGCTCAGTTCTGTCAACCAGATTTTGACCTTGGCACTATTGGTAAGGTGTAACTCAGACAGATGAGGTTTCCACCTTCAGTTGGTATTCCTCCTAAACACAGCTATCTTAAGGAAAGATGATAGCGAGTGGGATACACATGGTACAGGTATAGATAATACAATCTTCTTTTCCCTGTCTCATCTTGAAGCTTACAGGAAATGTTTGTTTAGTATCAAATACTGTCAAGCAGTGTTGTTCAAAATGAACTGTCTGTGCAAGAACCTACCTGAGCAAGTCATTTAACCGCCTGACTCTTTTTTTTCTCACCTAAAAAAGGAGGTTGTTTTGCTTATCTCAGTTGTCCAAAACAGTAGCTACTAATGTGGCTAGTGCAACTAAGGAACTGAATTTCTAATTGTACTTAGTTTTAATTAATTTAACATTAAATAGCTACATGTGGCTAGTGGCTACTGTATAGGGTGGGGCAGCGCCAGAATCTTGACACACATAAAGGAGCTTTTTAGGAAGATACAAACAAAAGGCTTAGGCTAGCTCAAAACTTGAACCACATCTGTGATGATTTATAGAATCCTAGGAGGGAAAAGGTTCAAAGG